GGATGGATGGATGGATGGATGGATGGATGGATGGATGGATGGATGGATGGATGGATGGATGGATGGATGGATGGATGGGAAGTGTAAAAGAAAAGCTAAGATTAAAGAAGAAATGTTGAATTTCCTGTGAAAATGTGTGATTTGTTTCTTCTTTCGACTCCTTTCTTCAGGGTCACCACAGCGATCTAACTCACACCAAGACTTGGTGATTGTTTTTACGCTGGATGTCCTTCCTGCCACAACAGACCACCAAGCTGCCACAGCTGCTATCTAGGGCACCCGGGGGAGCAGATTGTGGGGGTTAAGGGCCTTGCTCAAGGGCTCAGAGTGGGACAAATGAGGGTGGAGGCAGGTGTGGGTGCTTCACCTATCCCACCCACATTATGATGTTGTCGGTGCCAGGAGTTGAACCAGCAATCCTCCGATGACAGGTCCACCTTTACTCACCTCTGCGCCACCACTCCGTCTTAAAGGTTAAAGTAGAAAATTTGAATTTGCTGTGAAAATGTGCTGTAGTGTGAACACCTAATGATTTATGCTGAAAGCTGCTGACAAAGGTTCATCTGTGAACTGTGAATTTAAACAGCTGACATTTTCTAACAGCTGAAATGGAAAATAAATGCAAAGTAAAAGCTGTGAGCTGTAGAAAAACAGCAGAAATGTGTAAAAAAAAAAAAAAAGCTGAATAGTGCAGAAATGAGCAGGATAAGTTGAAGTAGGCAGAGATAAGCTAAATTACAAATAAAAAATCCATCCATCCATTCTGTTCCGCTTATCCGGGGTCGGGTCGTGGGGGTAGCAGCCTAAGTAGGGAGGCCCAGACTTCCCTCTCCCCAGCCACTTGGGCCAGCTCCTCCAGGGGAATCCCGAGGCGTTCCCAGGCCAGCCGAGAAACATAGTCCCTCCAACGTGTGGAAAAAAATCCTCAAATAAAAAATCAGGATTACAAAACATCTGAAATTAGCATAAATGAACCTGAAAAGAATAGGAAAAAGCTTACAATAAAAAAAATGTAGCTGATAAAACAAAAAATGAACTTAAATTATCAGAAAGAGGCTGAAAGGAGCAAAACAAGTTGCAATTATTAGACAGAAGCGCAAAAGGTGGAAAATAGCAAAAACAAAAGCTGAACAAAAAACTAAGATTTGGAGAAAAGACCTACAGTATAGCTGAAAATGTATGAAATTAGTGGAAAGAGGCTGAAAGTTGAAATTAGTAGGAAAACAACACAAAAGACAATAATTAGCAACAAAAATCAAGCCAAAAATGTTCAAATGAATTGAAAAATCTCTAAAACAATATTTGAAAAAGCTGAATTTAGAGTAAGATTCTCAAAGGAGCAAATAAAGTTTAAATTAGAACGAAGGTGAAAGGAGCAGAGAAAGGTTATGGTAATGAAGGCTTCTTTAGTGGCCCCTCTAGCTGTTGTACAATACACTGAGCTCAGCAAATGTATTTTAATTTCATCCTAATCCATTAGTTTTGTTGCTCCTCACCACAATACACCTTAGTAAACACAGAGCAGGAGGCTCACCTTTCACAGGTAGAGGAGGAAGTGAAGGTCTTCCATAAACACCTGCGGTGACGAGGGCAGTCAGCATCAGTGTCGAGCAGAGCATGATGTCTGCAGGAACAGAGGTCTGGTGTTAAATCAGCCAGCAAAACGTGGAGCAATGTCTCAAATTATAAAAAAAATCAAAAGAACAAGAACCCAGGAGAAGAATAGTGACAGTATTTATAAAAATCAAGAAGTAAATTGGAGCTAGTTAAGAAAACAAGTGACAGTCACTGGTTTGATTTTTCCCTGTGTTGTCTCCTCAAGAGGTCTAGGATTTATTCAAGGTGGTTTTATTGAACTCTTTTGTAGACAGAGAAACTTGTGTCATCACAGGAGTCATCAGAGAAGTGCTGCCACTCCCTCCACTTAAATATAACTGCGGGGGTTTGACACCCCCACATGATGAGTCACATTCAAGGTCACTCATATCACAGGTCAGCAGAGTCATGCAAAATTAGCATTTCAAAATAGAATAAAATACTCTACTGAATTATTATAGTTATAATTTAGTGTGGTTAAATCCAATTGCTTTAAATTTTTGTGTATATTTCAAATTTTATTATACCACATAAAGACCAACAGATTTAAAGGTACAATGTGTTAAATTTAGTCATGTCGCACTAAAAGTCTAATTATTTTTCATTACATCGGAGCAAGGTATTTATTGTGACATAAATCAGAGGACATCCTCATTACCCTCTGTTACAGCTGCAAAATGCTGCTTTAATGTGATTAAATGTTTAGAGTTTATAATGAATGAAAAATGTTTATTTGTCATTAAAGCTATTTAATAAACAACAATTTTCAGTCAGGTCATCTGGACAGTTTCTTTTTGTGCTGAAACGTTTCACCTTCCATCCGGAAGGCTTCATCAGTCAAGGAAACACAACACAAAACTGTTTCTTACCCCAAACAGCCCACTCCAAAGTGAAACAAACCAGCCATGTTGGTGGTAAGATGGTCTCTTTGGCACACCCCCTCCTCTGTTGCTGGCCCTCTTCCTCGTTGACAGGTTTGTTCCAGTTTGGAGTAAGCTGTTGGAGGAAGAATCAGTTTTGTGTTGTGTGTTTCCTTGACTGATGAAGCCTTCTGGATGGAAGGTGAAACGTTTCAGCAAAAAAGAAACTGTCCAGATGACCTGACTGAAAATTGTTGGATTGTTTACCTGGATTATTGAGCATGGACTTTTTTGGTATTTAATAAACAATTCCTCAACACAATTATTTTAATGCGGCCATGCCTATTTTAAATTTGTCAACATTTAAAACATATTTCTCATGCTTTTAAACAATACATTTATGTTAATTTATTTCATTCTATATTCACAAATGCAAAGTTTGCTACAGCACTCATGGTCTCTTTTTTCTGTTTAATTTAGTCCTCAATGCAATTTGAGTTTTGCAGAGACAATTTCACATGGAGTTAAATTGTCGTTTTCGTGGAAACCAGCTGACTTTCATTTCTGCTTCCAGGCCTGCGTTTATGGAGGTCAGCTGACAGCAATCATCACTTTCTTACACACTCGCCTGCAGAAGTGATAAATAATTTCCCTGATAAAGTTGTTGGCGTTGTGTCATCGAAAATACCCATTCATTCATAAAAGTCTGTCGTCACCGTCCATTCCCCATTCACAGAAACTGTGGACATGTCAGGTTTGGAACAGACATAAACGTGAGTCATGATGCTTTGGTGGTGTTTTACTGGATTATTGGTGGAAAATTTGTTAGCTAGTAGAATCTATTTAATCTAAAGAATAATCACATTGGAGCTTCATATTAGTCATCATGAATCATATGTTTGTTTAATACAGTAAAACCTTTACCTTAGACATTGTTGCATTAACTTTAGTACCTCAGCATTTACATTTATTACAAAAAAGTATTTAAAGTTAACTTAAAACTATAAAAGCCACAATGATTAGTAGGTAAATAGTATGGAATTATAAAGCATTATTCAAGATGCAAGCAGCATTGGAGGCCCTCGCAGCAAAGCACCGCTCCGGCCTTATGGCGACTGCGTGAGCTCCAGCTAGTCCACCCAGTCACCATCGCGAACGCTCTCGTGCCAATCCCGCACACGATCACCACGGGGCACATTTCCTGAATCTTCAACATCGCCTTCCGTCCATGTCGTTACTTGTCCAGCTGCAGGTCTTACAAGTATAGACAAAACCTGATCTTCCAGACAGGAGTTATGGTGACTTCCTGTTTTCTTGCAAATGTTTGACAAGCACTTCCTTTATGCTTTTCAACATGTCATGTGTGGTAATCTACAGTTAGCGAACAAAGTTTGAGTCTAATATCTTACACAGTGTGAAGCTGGAAGTGTCATCCAATAATCTACCGTTTTTTCTCTGAGTATGTGGGGCTTAAGTGATGTCATGAATCACCAATACCAGTGTGTCTACAAGTGCTCACTGATGAACAAAAACTCTGGTTCAGATTGGATGATGTGTCACTGAGATATAACTGTTGGAATAATGTAGCACTGAGTCAAATGTTAAAGAACAATATCAATGTGTCTATAAGTGATCACTGATCACACACGTAAAATCTGGTACATATTGGATGATATTTCACAGAGATATAACTGTTGGAATAAAGTAGGTGGCGCACTGGAGTCAAAAGTTAAACAACATCAGTGTGTCTAGAAATGCTCATTAATGAGGTACCCAAAATCTGGCATAGATTGGATGACATCTCACTGAGATATATTTGATTAAACAATCTAGGGGGCACACTCAAGTCATATGTTAAATCACAATATCAATGTGTCTAGACGTACTCACTGATTATGCATAAAAAATCTGGTGCAGATCGGATGATGTATCACTGAGATATAACTGTTGGAATAATGTAGGGGGCACACTGGAGTCAAAAGTTAAAAAACAATACCAATGTGTCTAGAAGTGCTCACTAATGACGCACAATAAATCTGGCGTAGATCTGATGATATATCACTGAGATATAACTGATTAAATAATGTAGGAGGCGCACTAGAGTCATATGTTAAACCACAATATCATTGTGTCTAAAAGTCCTCACTGACGCACAATAAATCTGGTGCAGATCGGATGTTGTATCATTGAGCTATAACTGTAGGGATAATGTAGGTGGCGCTGTGGAGGCTATTGGCCACTTATCATGGATACCTGTTCAAGGGGTGGATAATGATCGATCATAGTGATTTTGGTGCACCTCGGCTGAAATCTGTGCAATTTAGAACCAAACGTATTGCAACGGAGTCACATCTTAATTTGTCATTCTGCCACGCCCACATCCTCCAGCAAAAATGGTTTGTGCTTTAAATCAAGTCAGACCATATTATCTGTCTTCTAACACAGGATCATCCTGATTTGGTCAATGGTGTCAAAGAGGGAGCATTCCAAGTTAAAAAAGCGACTTCCTGTTCCGAGAGGGCGGGGCTTTGATGATGTCAAAATATGACCACAGTGGATTGTCAAGCATCCAACAGGGATGAGTCATGCCAAGTTTGGTGCATTTCGGTCTTTCAATGTGAAAGTTAGTGTTTGGAAATTTATGGCGTGAAGCAAAACTTTGAAGCCTGGCCACGTCCCTTTAACATATACGAAAATGCAAGCTTTTGATAAATTTTACTCTCCAACGTCTTAAGGGTGTATCAACTAAGTTTGAAGGCAATCCTTCAAAATCCCTAGGAGGAGTTCATTAAAATTTGCAAGTAGAAACACCCAAAAATGACCCTTTGACCCAAAATGGCCGACTTCCTGTTGGTTTTGGAACAGGACTCCAAGAGACTTTTTCATAGATCCTGAGAAGATACAGATGTTCACCAAGGTTCCGAATTATTGGTCCAAGAATAGCTTGGGGCTGAGGTTTTAAAATATTCTAGGGGGCGCTGTGGAGGCTATTGGCCACTTATCATGGCTTCCTGTTCAAGGGGTGGATAATGATCCATCACACTGATTTTGATGCACCTCGGTTCAAAGCTGTGGAATTTAGAGTCAAACGTATGGCGACAGCGTTGTGTCTTACTTCGCCACGCCGCGCCGCCCACATGCTCCACCCAAAACTGTCAGCGTTGGAAAGCAAGTTACACCAACATGTTTTCGGTCACTGGACACACTATCATGCAGATCAGGTAACGGGTCAGATAGGGATCGTGCAACGTAAAACTTTATTCTTCCTGTTGTAAGGGGGCGTGGCTTAAATGATATCATGATTTGACCATTCAGTCTTGCAGGGGACTGGATGTGGATCAATCACTGAAGGTTTGATGTCTCAGACAGTTTTCTTGTAGGAGCTATTAGCGTTTCATTTTTCATGGCGACATGTCAAACTTTGAGGTCTGGCCCCGCCCCTTCAGCATGCTCCAAAATGAACTGTTTAGATAACTTTGTGTCCCCCATGCCTTTTGACCAAATTGGCCATGTTTGAAACCGATTGAGCGAAATCCCTAGGAGGAGTTTGTTCAAATGTGGAGGCTGTAAACCGCCTAAAAGGTGTGAAAATTGGGACGTCATTCCAAAATGGCCGCCTTCCTGTTTATTGTACAACGTTGGTGCCAGAGGGTTTTCTGTGCATCTTGGGAAATTGAACAAGTGTACCAAATTTCATGTTTCTACGATAAACTAAGGTTAATGCGGAGAGTATTTTGAAAATTTCAAGGTGGCGCTCTTGAGCCGTTTCTGTTGTGATTTTTGCCACACACTTAAAATACGTAATTTTTCACCAGTCATGTTGCGTCCACCAAATTTGGTGACTTTTGGGATATGTTAAGGCCCCCAAAATGCCAATTCATTGGGCGGAAAAAAAATGCAGCTCGGGCCTGAACAGAGCGATTACAATAGGCCTTCGCAGCGCGTCGCTGCTCGGGCCTAATGACTTTGTTGTTCTCAGACTAATTGCTTGTCTGTCCCTAGTTCTCACATTTTTAGCTCAATATAAATATCACAAACAGACGTCTCATCTAAATGACTTCTTCTGTAAAAACGGATCCTATTTCTTTGTACAACAGTCCATTTAAGATAATAAACATCCTTACAATTCTTTTTCAGTCAGACAAAATATCCACATTCATCTCAAACTTGGCAAACACACATACAATCCAAGGTGACATATACATATAAATTATTATACAATTTTAGTATATAACCACATTCTACACCTGCTTCTGTTTACTTAGTACAACAGAATATTTTAGCAGTTTGTACACGACTGAATAAATGGAGAGGAAATTATTAATTCAATACTGAAAGAAAACAGCAGTAACTAAATGGTTCAATAAATAAATAATAAATTAATAAAAAAAAGATTTGATTAAGAACCATAACTGAATAAAAGTGATATTTATATATTTTATCATTTTTAACTAGTTTTTATTCTCATTATTACATTACTGTTAATTGTGATTTTACTTTAAGACATGAAATAAAGCTCAGTTGTCTGTTTAAATTCATGAACGTTAGCAAACACACACACACACACACACACACACACACACACACACACACACACACGAATTGGAGTGAACTGACCGTGCACAGGTTCAGGTCCTGGAAGTGTTCTGGTTCTGATGGGGTGGTGGTGCTGGCATCAGTTGCAGCAGCGACTCATCAGCTTCCTTTGGACTCACGGGGAACCTGAGCTCTTTTCAAGGTTCCCACCCCTAAGAAGATGGAAATTTCTCAGGTTTCCCAATGTAACGCTGTGTACTGCACAGCTCACCACTCAAGTCTGCTGACTACTGAACACACACACACACACACACACACACACTATATCACAAAAACTAACTCAATGGGATCAATAGGAGTTTCTTTCTGGCTCGTTGTAAACAAACTGGAATGTGTTTACAACAGTTGGACTCTGGCATCTTCTGCTGCTTACATTAACCGTGACATCACGTCTTTGTTTGCTTTCACACAAGAACACACACATATATATGTACACACAACACACTCACACGAGAGAGGGAGATTACTTGTATGACTGTGACGCCACATCACTAAATGTTTTCTCACAGCTCCCAATATTTAGTCACGTTTCACTTGCCCATTAATAATATGTCTATCCCAGTGCAGCACAGCTGTCTGGAGTTTGACTGTGGTTCCAAAAGTAAAGATTGTGTGTGGATGGAGGACCTTTGTCCCACTCCTCTCTGGAAGACTCCAACAGGTTTATATAGTTATTTATATACTGTAAATGGTAAATGGACTGTACTTATATAGCACCTTTTTATCTTTTCAAGATACTCAAAGCTCTTTACAACAATCTGTGCCTCATTTACCCGTTCATACAGCTCTATACTAGATCTATACAAAGCTAATTGAACAAATCATTCTAAAGAGACTAATCAGAGCTTTAAATCACATTCATACACTGATGGGACACACATCGTAGGCAACAAGGGGTTCAGTGTCTTGCCCAGGGACACTTGGGCATGTGACTGCTGGTGGATTTGAACCCCCAACTCTTGCATTAGAGGCCGACTGCTCTAACCACTCAACCACAGCTGCCCACACATGTCCATATACAGCTATGTTTTGTGCCACCTGTCTTCAACGCTGACCCATTCACCAGTTCCTGCTGATGAAAAGCATCCCCACAGCATGACGCTGCCACCACCGTGCTTCACAGTGGGGATGGCGTTCTCAACATGAAGACACAATGCTGTCCTCCATGGCTAACGTGTCAGTATTGGTCTCATCGGACCACAGCACCTTGTTACACATACAATATTCACTACGATGAACGAAGGTGAGCATACAAGCAAGAGAGAACATCCATTTAATCTCTACTTGGGTTATTGTCCAGGAATAGAACAAGCCGTCTGCTGAACCAGTACTAATGCTTGCTACTAGTAACTATGGCCTTTACATTTAAAGCTGCAATGACACTTTTGGCTGTTTTGGAACTTTATTAAATAGCTACTTTGTTTTGCTATGTTCGTGATTCAGAATAAAATGTTGCAGCAGTCGGCAACTGAGGCATTTTTTACGTTTTATTTAAAAAAAAGTTATTATTCAGTTTTAAACATTTTGTACAACAGAAATTTTTGGAGGGCACTTTCTGATAACATTTTGTTTTGGGTTAATAGTTGGCTTTCCTTTGATTAATCCAGTTAACACTGAGTGACAGCAAATGTCTCCACTTGTAATTTCCATAATGTAGAATTAAGGTATTTCATGTTTTTATTAGGGTTAGCCAAGTTTGGTTGAGAACAAAGATGTGAATATAAATTTTTATAGCATATAGTATACATGTGTTCTTCGTTTAAAACAAGTCTCTCTTGTAAATGAGTCCTCGAGGCTCATTGAGACTAACCTGTGTAAATAAAGGTTGAATTATTTAAGGAGCCTCCAGCAGAGACATTCACATGTGGTAAATACCTAACGCTCTGCCTCATTTGTTTTCTCTTTAAGCAACGTCTTTTTCCAGACTACTTTTAACAAAGCCCATCTCTGAGCAGCATCTAGTGGTACATCCTCACCTCAGTGCAGAAGAGCTGCTCAGCTCCGTCAGTTTTATTTGGTTAGCTCTGATTAATTACCTTCTCGGGCGGCTGTGCGTGAGTTGTTAGAGCAGTCATCCTCCAATGCAAGAGTTGGGGGTTCGATTCCACCAGCATTCACATGCCGAAGTGTCCCTGGGCAAGACACTGAACCCCTCATTGCCACTGATGGGTGTCCCATCAGTGTATGAATGTACTGGTAATAAAGCACTGATTATTCTTTGTATAGATCTAGTAGAGTGCTGTGTGAATGGGTAAATTAATGCACAGACTGTGTTGTAAAGAGCTTTGAGTGTCTTGATAAGATAGAAAGGCGCTATATAAGTGCAGTCCATTTACCATTCTCACCTGGTTTATGAGTTTTGATCAATGATTTTTTGGCAGGTGTGCTGTGATTGTATAATGTTTAATTTTCGAAAAATTGATTTAACAGAGCTTTATGGGATGCGCAGGATATGGAATATTTTTTAGAATCCTACTCTGATCTGTGCTTTTTCTTTGTTTCCCTCCCTAAATTGCACACCTATAATATGCTGCCGGACCAGCTTTACCCATAATTTGGTGTTTTTTTAATTCTAAAGACATTTCAAAATGACATCTGAGTCATTTTCACCTGATGGCTTACAACTGAGGTGATTGCACCTGTATTATTATGTCGTCCTCATGACTAATACACAAGCCTGACTGCGTGGCACTCCTTGCTTTTTTTTTTTTTCTGGTAAAGTATGTGAGTTTTGTCTAAAAAAGTTAAATCTGGTCCTCTGGACATTCAAAAAAACAAAACAAAGCAAATCAACAAAAAATGTAGAAATGTTTCGTCTCTCATCCGAGAGACTTCTTCAGTCTGAGGAGCTGTATTCAGCTCAGTCTCTTAAATAGCACCTTCTCAGAGTGGATCAACCAGTTTTGCTGCTGACAACCAAAACCAGCTGATCACATGCTCAAGAAGGACCATCAGCCTAACAATGGATCATTAGCACACTGATGGCTGTTTACTATTCACAGAGGGCTGAGTGATACTAGCAATCACAGCATTGTAAGAGGGGGACAGTTGAACCTGGAGGCCTCCACCCCTGTTTAATGATGGACGGTTTCTTTTCACAAAGATGGCCTCCTTTACTCCTCTCTCAAACCATCGTTCCTCTCTGTCCAGGATGTGAACATCTTCATCCTTGAAAGAGTGACCGCTGGCCTGGAGATGAGTGTAGACCGCAGAGTCCTGGCCTGATGATGTTGATCTTCTGTGCTGGGCCATCCTTTTGGCCAGTGGCTGTTTAGTTTCCCCGATGTAAGACTGATCACCCTCCTGACACTGAACAACATACACAACATTGCTCTGTTTGTGCCGGGGGACTGGATCTTTGGGATGAACCAGTCTTTGCCGTAATGTATTTTGGGGTTTAAAAGCCACTGGGACGTTATGTTTAGAAAATAAACGTCTCAGTTTCTCTGATACTCCCTCAACATATGGAATGACCAGTGGTCACTCTTTCAGGGATGAAGATGTTCACATCCTGGACAGAGAGGAACAATGGTTTGAGAGAGGAGTAAAGGAGGCCATCTTTGTGAAAAGAAATCGTCCATCATTAAACAGGGGTGGAGGCCTCCGGGTTCAACTGTCCCCCTCTTACAATGCTGTGATTGCTAGTATCACTCAGCCCTCTGTGAACAGTAAACAGCCATCAGTGTGCTAATGATCCATTGTTAGGCTGATGGTCCTTCTTGAGCATGTGATCAGCTGGTTTTGGTTGTCAGCAGCAAAACTGGTTGATCCACTCTGAGAAGGTGCTATTTAAGAGACTGAGCTGAAAACAGCTCCTCAGACTGAGGAAGTCTCTCGGATGAGAGACGAAACGTTTCTACATTTTTTTGTTGATTTGCTTTGTTTTGTTTTTTTGAATGTCCAGAGGACCAGATTTAACTTTTTTAGATTTTTCTACCTGGATTATTGAGCATGCATCAGGATATGTGAGTTTTGACACTCACATGCCATTCACTGGCCTTTTAGTGAGCAGCAGCTGAAGGGGACACACAAATGTTCAAATCAGGAGACAAAAACAAGCAAAAAACGTTTTACACAAACCTCCAAAACAAACAAAAAATCTGAAGAAAGAAACTTGGCACCCTTCAAACCATCTCTGTATAAACAAAAATGTCCACTAATTTGCCTCGTTATAGTATGACTCACCACGTTGTCATCTCTATAAGTATGTTGTTCACCATGATGTTTTCCTGTGGATCACCCTGTTCAACTGACATAATAATCCTGATTGGACAGTTTCCAACGAGGACATACTCACTCACTGCACTTTGGTTATGCAAACTGTGAGATACCATAATTGTCAGAAACAGCTTTGCAATAATGGACACCCAAGACAAAAATAAAATAAAATAAAATAAAAGCAACTATGACACTTTGAATTAATCTGTATTCAGCTTTGATTGATTTATTTACAAACATTTTGTCAAAGAGCATTAGAGAGGTACAGTATATCCATCCATCCATCCATTATCTTTACCCGCTTCTTCCATTTAGGGTCACGGGAGTCACTGGTGCCCATGTCCAGAAATCACAGTGCGAGGGGCGGGGTACACCCTGGACAGGTCTCCAGTCCATCACAGGGACACATAGAGACAAACGAGACAAACAACCATTCACTCTCTCACTCACACCTAGAGACAATTTAGAGTTACCAATCAGCCTAACATGCATGTTTTTGGTCTGTGGGAGGAAACCGGAGCACGCGGAGAAAACCCACGCATGCACAGAGAGAACATGCAAACTCCACCCAGAAAGGCCCCCGGACCGGGATTTGAACCAGAGACCTGCGCGCTGAGCAGCTCTACCAGTTGAGCCACCGTTCTGCCAGGTACAGTATAATTTATGCAATTATTACAGTGATCTTTATTTATAGTTGCTGACAGGCTGCAAAACTAGCTGTACAAAGAAGAGCATGATGGATAATTCAATTCAGTTTATTTATTTATATAGTGCCAGTACGCACCACCCCCCCACCCCCCCCCCCCCCACACACACACACACACACACACACACACACACACA